TTTATCTTCATAAAATCGGAGAAGAGTGTAATAAAAATAGTCAAATAATTGCACACAATTCAAGTAATTGCCAGGGAGATTGTGTAGAATGGAGCTGCTGAAAGGTAACCGCTGGCTGGCGGGCAGCCCCCCGCACAGTGGCCTGAAGCACCCGGGAGTCCTTTTCGCAGCTCTCAGGCCGGTGCCACCCTCCCCCGCACAGTGGCCACTCCAGTGTTTACAAACTCCACAATGCCTTTCCTCCAAGTAACGGCCAAATCCAAAATGCGACCTCCAGTGACCCTGTCGCCTACAGCCATGGTCCTCGCCCTCTGTCTTCTCGCTGGAGCCCAGCTCCTGTTGTTCAAAGCGCCTCTGTGTGCTAGTCTTCAAAGCCGAGTACATGTGAACCTACTACCCTCTACCCACCTAGTTACGTCTTTTTCCACTTTGGGGATTCCATTCATTTTAGACGCCTTCACAGATTGATCAAAGAAGTGCTGAAACGTTCCCCTCTATTCAAGGTGGGTTTGAAAAATCACACAAAACGTCCAGCTGGTGTGGCTCAGTGGCTGAGCACGTCGACCCATGCACTGAGGTCGCCAGTTCGATTCCCCGTCAGGGCGCATGCCCAGACTGTGGGCCCGATCCCCAGTCGGGGGCATGCAGGAGGCGGCCAATCGATGTTCTCTCTCATTGGTGTTTCTATCTCTCTGTCCCTCTCCCTTCCTCTCTCTCTAAAATCAATAAAGAAAAAAAAACTCACACTAAAAAATTTCCTCTACTCTTTCTCATCTCTTTGCCCAATGTTCTGTGGATTCCCCAAGTCCCGTCTCTGTCCCTACAAAAATGTATTCATTCTGGGCCTGTTTCTAGGCCTTTGCTGTCCATTCAGGTCCTCAGTTAACAGGGCGTCACCTGTTAACCTGTGTGTCACCTGTGTGGCCCCATTCCTATCTCTGCACCATCTTCCATTTCTAACTCCCTGGTGAAGGACACTGGGCCTCCTCTGGCGTAATGACTTCTCTGGTAAGCATGAGCTAGGGGGAAACTGGTTTTCTGGAACTGTTGCAGATAGGAACCATAAATGGAAAGGTACATATCAAACACTACTGGGCCCATGACCCATTGGCAATTGTGGTGGCTAATTTTCCCATCTCCTAAGCACTGTCGTGTGCAGAGCCCTTGACTGCAGGCTGAGTTTCTGTATCAGGCCAAACTAGTTCTAACCAAAAGGCATTGAACCTTCTGGGCTCAGGGCGGCAGGTGCAGAAAGATAAAATGTGCCACCTCTCCCATCCCCGTGGCCTGAGCCACCAAGGTACCTAATTAGGCAACAGCAAAATGCAGAGCATTTCAAAGCATCAGTTTCCAAAGTTATAAGGACCCAACTACCCCTCGGAGCTGTCTCTGGGACATGGAGTTCCTGTTAGAAACCCCAATTTTCCTCCCAACGCAATTCAAAACAGACAGAGGGGAGAGAAAAACCAATACTGAAGATGTCAGAGATTCTCCCGGCCACTGTCTTATGGAAATCTCTCTGTGCTTCTGCGGATCAAACAGCTGCCCTCTGTGTGTGCAGACTGGAGACAAGCACTATTCCCACGCGGTCACCCCCTGCTCGCACCGCGGGGCATTTCCATTATTCTCCACCGAAGACGTCCTTTCTGTGAGTCTTTCTTCAAAGCTGCAGCTTAAACGTGTTCCCCTTCCAAAGCAGAGCCACAGCCTGGCCGGTGGGTGTTGCTCAGTGGCTGAGGGTCGACCCATGCACCAAGAGGTCACCAGTTCGATTCCCAGTCAGGGCACATGCCCAGGGTGTGGGCCGGATCCCCAGTGGGGGGGTGTACAGGAGGCGGCTGATTGATGTATCTCTCTCACATCGATGTTTCTCTCTCTCTCTCTCTTCCTCTCTCTCTAAAATAATCAATAAAACATATTTTAAAATAAGTAAGTGAATAAATAGAAAAAATACTCGATCCCCTTTTTGAGAGCTAATGTTTAAACGGAAACAATAGCAAAGTCATTTGCCTTAAATAGAATGTAACTCAGTGATCAACTGACAGAAACCAAACGGAGTTATAAAGTCCTAATCAGACAGTGTCCCCAGTGGAAGATACTAAGTTGGAGGCCCGCTCCCTCTCCTTACACAAGGGAGGTCACCCCGGCTTGCAGAAGTGTGTAAGACAGTGGCACAAACCAAGATCCTCCCTGTCACAATCAGAAGCACTACAGGAAAAGAAGGAAGGGTAGCACCTTCTAACCACACGGTCTACGTTATTTAATGCCCTTGCACATACCACCTAAAATGTCTCACACATCTGAGGTGGACAACCCTTCCCTCGCCCCCCAAGAAGGGTTATTGGGCATCTACTATGTAGCAAGGGACTTTCTAAGGACTAGAGGACCAAACACATTTAAAAATAAAAAAGGCTTGCCCTGGCTGGTGTGGCTCAGTTGGTTGGAGCATCGTCCTTAGTACTGAAAGGTCGTGGATTTGATTCCTGGTCAGGGTACATACCCAGGCTGTAGGTTCGATCACTAGTTGGGGCATGTATAGGAGGCAACTAATCAATGTTTCTTTCTCTCTCTCTCTCTCTCTCTCTCTCTCTCTCTCTCTCTCTCTCTCTTCTTCTCTGTCTAAAATCAATAGAAGCAAATCCTCGGGTGAGGATTAAAAAAACACTTTTTTAAAAATAAAAATTAAAAATAAAAAGGCTCTGTGCCCACACAAGATTTAAAACCTACGTTTAAAGAAACGGTGTCTAGGATAGCCTTCTCTCCAGTGATCAACTTCTCTCCTGAAGCTAATAAGGAAAACCCCAGATCTGAAACTGTGAAAACCAGGTCCCACCCCACACCCCCAGCGGTTTCTCTGATGAAGCTCTCAATAGAAAATGACGTGTTTACTAGCTGTTAAGTGTCTGGCATACTTCGCAAGCAGCATTAACCACCCCGAAAACCTCAGGGCCTCCTCAGATAAACAAGTCCCCACCCAAATGCCCTTCCCTACCTGTCCTAGGGGTAGCTCCCGACGCCAGGAGACAACTGACATTTAAACCCTGACTGGAACCACACCGAACCCTGTCTATTGTAAATGTCAACAAGGGAGGCAGCTGGGCGGGCAGGCTTCTCCAAGACCAATTGAAAAACCACTTCTCTGCAGCTGGATTTAAAAATCAATCATCAGAGGCAGCAAGAGAAGGGAGTGAGGACAAGACTGGACTTTGAGACAAGGGCACCCGAAGTGATTCACATTTGTGACTAATTATCTCTCTCTCAGTCTTTATGTTGGTCTCCCCAGGGGCACACGTTTTCTCTCAAGCAGCTGAGGCATCTGCCCCCAAGAATTCCAGGCCTCCTGTGGGTCCTGCTCCGCCCGCATTTCGAGGGGCCGCTTCCAATGCCTGTGTGAAACGACCGGCATTTGTTGTTCTTCTAAAGTGCACATAAAATTTTAAGCTTCCTGAATCGTAAAAAGGGAAAGTTTAAGCTTCCTGAATCGTAAAAAGGAAAAGTAAACAAAGGGATGAATCTGCCGTTTATAAAACCTAAAAACCCTTTAAACTGTCTTAGAAGCATGCCCTCCTCGGATGTGGAATATTACCACCAGCCTGAAAGCAAGAGGTTATGTATGTTTCCATCACCTTCCCATTCAAAGAGGTGGATTACACTGTAGGAGAACAAATATGAATACATACAAATTTTACGAATACTTATTACTGTCTTACTCTGTGCTAGTCACTGCTCCAAGCACTTTACAAATACCAATTTATTTAGTCCTCACGACAACTCTAGAAGGTTAAGTCCCACAATCCCTGTTTTGACAGAACAGGAAACAAGAACACAGAGAGGTAAAGCAGCTTGCTCAAGGGCGCACAGCTGGTAAGTGGCTATGGTGGGTGTTGAACCCAAGAAGCCTGACTCTGTGGGCCATGCTCTCAACCACTCCCCATGTGCTGCCCCCGTACACTAAGTGCTGAGTGCTTTATATGTGCTATTGCATACGAACCATTCAGTGACCTATCAGGTAGGTCATATTTTTGTTCCCATTTTACAGATGCGCAAACTGAGGCACAGAAAGGCAAAGCAGCTTGCCCAAGACCACTCAGCCAATACATAGGCACTCTGACTTCATTAAGGTGTTTCACAACGCCTCCCCAGAGCCTCCCCTGCGTGCCTTTGGGTAGAGACAGGAAGGTAGCAGAGTTAGTGGGTTAGAAACTATCTTCTCATTGAACCTGGAACCTTGAACTCATGTGCCCCATAGCAACAGTGCTTAGGCAGGAGAAATGTTAGATCATCTCATACAATTCTATCTTTAAAAGAACAGACCAAGAGGATTAGCGATAAGAAATAACTTGACTAGCGGGTACGTACAATTAACCCGATTGAATACCATACATAGGGGTGGGAGGAAATGTCACAAGAGAAGCAGTTTTCCAAGTGTGCTTTGGGGACCCCTGGGAGATCCCCCAGACCTTTCCCACACCAGGCTGCCTTCTACCTTGTATCCCCCTGCGTGTCCTGTGGAGTCCTCCAGGGACAATGTGACACACAGTGGCACAGAGATTGAACGGGAAGAAGACATGAGGGTCCAGCTACCTTCTAAGAAGCCAGACGGGGTGCAGAATTTGCAAACATATCAAACGATGCCACTCTTCTAACTTTTTATTCTGAAAGTTATTTTTCATAAAAATGTTGTTTATGCCAACATGTAACATGTTTATTATTTAAGTGAATTGAGGCACTGTGACATTTTCGGGTTTAATTTCTAATAGGATGAAGACGGAGACAATCCGAAGAAGACAGACGTTTTACGAGCAGAACCACGGCCTGGGACTACGATCAAGGCCGGGACGCACCTGCCTCTGCCCCCCGGAAGCCCTGTGCGTAACTGCCGCCCCAGTGCGTGACTGTGGATGTCGAACGAATGCCCAGGTGTACCGCACTGGCTGTCCCCTCAGGTACACGTCCCCACATGCACGACAATGATGAATGCTCAGACGCACACAGCTTACCTGGAAATAGTCAGTAATGAACGATCCAAGTTCACTCTTCAGCAGCCTCCTGGGGAGAGAGAAACACCGTCAAGCAGCCCTTGATGGTACAGGTCCTGCTGTCCAGTTCGTGGACACAAGACGATGGAGCGCTGGCCAACGGCGGGGCCGAGGCCAGGCCTCAGGGCGGTGAACTCTCCTTGGCCCTGGTAACACCGCTCCACCGGTATTCCTAGGACTTTGGGGTGATGAAATCCTCCAGGAGTTCTGCTCCTCAGCTCACGCAGACCACCTGCTCAAGAAGACTGTCACTGGGGATCCCCACAAACGGAGCTGTTGGAAACAGGTCAGCACACCTGGCTTCGTGCGAAGCCAACAAATTAGCCAACAAACAAGGAGGAGAAGGACCCTAACTCCGTAAGTCCCCGCATTTGCAGACTTTATGGTCAATAATGCATTTTTCACACATTCTTCAACCAAAGACTACAAAGCATGTGTGTATGGAGGGCGGGGGCAGGGGGGCAATTGTTAACCCTCCCGTATAGATAAAGAAACTGAGGCTCAGAGAAGTCCCCTAAATAAGTCAGTGGCAGAGTTAAGATTCAAACATCTTTTCCTTCAAACATCTTTTCCCATAACTGCACCCCATCTCTCCTCTAAATCCAGGGGAGACATTCACCTTGGTGCCAGGGTTGGGGTGGTCCTTCACAGGGGACCGCAATGGGGACTTTATTTATCTAGCAGCAAACGGTCACTAAGTTGCCCTTGACATGCTGGAGATTGTTCTAGCACCAGATGCCCAGAAGTGACCAGCACAGGTGAGGTCTCTGCTCTCAGGGGGCTTCTATTCTGGGGGGTGGGGGTGGGGTACAGAGCATGTTGATAAACACCATCAAGATAAGTTCAAAGAGTTTTACGGGCTGAGAGAAAAAATTAAAAATAGGGCTATGGGCATCACATCCCCTCCTGTGACAATTCAGGGACCCTCCCGACAGCTCTTTCTGTAGCTGGATCCGAACCAGGTGAGGGAGCTAAAAACAGTCACTGGCTCCAGGTCCAGTCAGTCCCTGGGAGCACACTCGTCATGACTCGGAATGATTTCTTACTCATCCCATTAGCCATGGTTATTAAGGAGCAAAACGCTCCTGACAACCCCCGCTGGGTATTAACTCCCCCCGAAAACGCATTCCCACGTGTGGGATACATAGGAAGCTACAGCGAGACGTCATTCTGGGCAGACACAGACACAGGAGGGTCGAGACAGGAGAAGAGGAGACAAACGTCTGCACCAGAGGAGCCAGACAGCTCCAAATATGCGCTGAGTAAGGAAAGCATCTTCCTTTTCCCACAGCAGAAACTGTGTCTGTGGTGGATTCTGCCTTTTGAAATCCGAGGTAATGGCAAGGCCCTGGAAGGCCACCGCATCAACACGACCCAGGGGTCCCCCAGATACGGGCTGGTCAGACGGAGACAGGGCCTCCATCAGCCACCGGGCCAGGGCAGGCTGGTCAGCAGGGCTTTCAGAGGCTCGAGGTATCTCTCCACCAAGAAGCAGAAACTGTGGGCAGCCCCAGATGGCGGCTGTGAAAAGGAAGAGGCAGGGTAGCTGTGTCTGCAGGAAAACACCTCCCAACAGGGTCTCCGTGGCCCCTGGGACGTCTCCAAACCAGAGGAGAAGAAGCCCAGCCTCATCAATAATAGGAAACTAGTCCTATTGACGGCTTATCTCGGGTGCTCACGATGCTGAGGGACGAATATCATCCTGAGACTAGGACGTGGAACTGGTGTCCCGAGGGACCCGCACTGGGAAAGCACTGTGCCCACGAGACGCATCGGGGAAATGGAAAGAGAAAGAGGTCAGCCGAAGGGTAGGCTTCCAGGTCAAGAACCACGGAGACCTTCCAGGAACAAGACAGAAGAGGCATCTGTCTGAATGGAACAACTCTTGACTGGGGCTGGACATGATGACAGGTGGCGAGAGCCCAGGGACGTGTCACAGTGGTATCCGAGAGTGCATGATGCTCCCCAACCCAGAAACTCTCAGAAGGGTGAAAAGGCTACAGCCCACAGCGAGGGGGCGGCATGGCCCCCCGAGGTACAGCCAAGGCCGGAATTCTGCAGAGCGTCTCAGGAAGACAGAGCTTGAGGCAGAAATCAGCTGATGATGGAGCAGAGACAGAGGAGTGAGCCTGATGTAAGTGCCCAGACAAAGGGGCTCTGAAACCCAGAAGCAGCCAAACCAGGGCCGGCGAGATGGTGACGGGTGAGAACCAAGCGCAGAACACAGAGGTGCTTCCACCACCGACAAGGGCGAGCTTCGTCCTTTACTGAGAAGGGACCAGACACAGGTGTGGGCATCTGCTGGATATACTTTAGACATAGGGGACTCTAACCAGGTTTGGTAAGAGAACCACACAGTTCTCTTCTGATCAAGTCCCAGGTTCAAAACCTTCTCCACTGGGTATTGTCATACCCAGCATTATCGGAACAGAGCTGACCCTACCTGCTCATTCAAACCAACATTCTCTTGTCCTGGGTGGGTCATCGGCCAGCTCCTCTGTCCCTTACAAAGTCCTGTCTTATTTCTGCCTGGGCACGTTATGAGGTAGACAAGGTCATCGCCTGTGTGTACGGAGTTTTCACTACAGCAAAGCACAGGGAATCGACATCAATGTGCACCACTGACGTGCTCACAGAAGAATTATGGCTCATTCAGGCGATGGACTTCCACGTAACCCTCAGAAGACAAACGGGAAGGACGTGCTCTAAGTAATGCTGGGAAAAGATCTAAGTTACACGAAGGAAAAAGAAAAGTGCAAGACGCCGAACGGTGTGTAGCGCGCTACCTTGTGGAAAAGAGAGAGAGACGCATCTTTATTTACACGGTCAACTGCCAGACCTGCCCCCGTCTCTGCTCTGGAGCAGCTGGATGATTGCTTCCCAGGGGGCCCTGAGCACCGAAATTAGCACCTTGGATTTTAGACACACAAAACATACACTTTTTAAAAAGTGATGTCTAAATGTACTGGCTTTTGTCTCCTCCTAATCATCTCCCCAAGAGAGAGGTTGGAGAAGGTTGGAGCTGTTACTGGAAAGAAGGGAGGACAACAAAACCCCTCAGCAAAGCTCATTCCCCGAAGCTAGGAGGCACTGGCCTGCAGACACCCACCACGTTGCCATGGACCGTGTATAAAGTGTCCACGATTCCCAGCTGCTTGTCCATAACTATTCCTTACTTAGGCCTAGAGAAGCTTTGGAAGAATAGACAATAAGCCATTGTTGTATTACCTTTGGGGGAAACTGAGCTTCTGGAAAGGGAGATTCTTCACCGTGTAGTTCACCATATATTTAAAATGTTGTACTCTAGGAACACAATCCTATCAAAACCATCAAACATTTTTTTTTAAGTGAATAATCACCACCACCAAGGTTACCTGGATGGCTTGAAGATGAGAGTAAGTTGTGGGAGGTGCCATCAGGAGTGCAAGATCAGTAAGCAGGCTGTCCTCGGGGTCTCAGAGAACCCCAAGGCCTGAGAACCCGCCAGCCCAGACCCCCCTCTGGCTGGCAACTGGAGAACTTAACTCAGAGAGAGAAGGGGTGAGGGGAGGGGAGAGCTGGCCTGGGAACAGAGTGGGGCTGAGTCATATACAAAATCCACCTTCTATTTCTATCCTCTGTGTTTATTCTGCTTGCTCTTAGTTTACAAGGAAAGGGTACTTCTGAAAAGGTCTTAGCTGAACCGAGAGAAAGAGGGATTTTCCACCCCGCTGACTCGATGCACCACCTCCAGGGGGAACTCAGCAGTGGCTTCCTTCCAACAAAGAAAGAGCGACTGACAGAGAATAGGGACCCCGGGAATCAATTCACTGACTCATAACCCTTTACTGAAAACCCACGCTGTGTGGGACAGGGTGCTAGATGCTGGAAGGGAAGGACGGCACAGAGCTCGGACAGTGATTTCTTCCCATTGGGGCTCCTCTCTCAGGAGCACCGTCTTCTCCAAAAATTGGGGGTCCGAGTGTCCAGGCATGAAACATACACAGATCTAAAATCGCAGAGGGACACCAGTCACCTTCCTCACTACGTCAGCCGGGCCGGCTTGGAGAGCACAAGAAGGGAGAAGCAGGAGGAAAATAAGAGAATCAAAGAGCCTGCGGTCTGTGCTTCCCTGGATGGGAAGAGGTACAAACCCTGATTCTAGGACGCATTCGAAGCCTCCTTCCACCCTCTGCACCCTTTCCTCGGGCTTCTCCTGCGCACAGGGAAGGAATGACTTACTGGAGCAAAGACAGGTGATAGGTAGACGGACAGATAAACAAATAAGGAATAAAAACCAAATAGCTCCTAGGAAGGGGCTGGCTTTCTCTCCGGCTCAGGTTTACGGAGCACTTACCACCTAGCAGGCACCGCCAACAAGGTGCAGGTGTCTCCTCACTTAGAGCAAACCGTAAGGGGGCGGTAGCAGCTCCACTCCGCAGAGGGGACTGAGGGGGGCGTGCAGCGAGCCCCCGACAGAGAGGAGCCTCACGGAGAGCAAGGGCCTGGAGCCCGACTGGTCTGTAGCCGCGAACCATCCATCACCTTTGCGGGTTCACTTCACAGGTGAGTCCCTGGTGCCTGTTTCCTCAACTGGACCATGGGGATGAGCAGACACCTCCCCCACGGGATTGTTGCGAGGGCTAAAGGAACAGAGCCTGGGAGAGTTAGCACCTGGCGCACTGCAGGCTGTGACCACTCTGCCCAGGTCATCTGACCCTGGAGCCCACACTCCTCGAAGAACTCCATTCTCGCCCTGGCTGGTGTGGCTCAGCGGTTAGAGCAACGGCCCGTGGACCAATGAGTCATGGGTTTGATTCCGGGCAAGGGCACGTACTTCGGTTGCAGTTTGTCCCCAGCCTTGGTTGGGGTCATGCAGGAGGCAACCAGTCGATGTGTCTCTCTCACATCAATGTTTCTCTCTCTCTCCCCCTCCCTCCCATTCTATCTGAAGATAAATGGAGGAGTATCCTCCGGTGAGGATTTTAAAAAAAACAGAAACAAACTCCACTCTCCTGCTTGTTGGCATCT